TTAGCCTTCGTCTTAGTGTAAAAAGCCGCGATAACTTTGGCAGACGCACACGCAATGTGCCTCCAAGAAGGCAGCAACAACAAAAACCCATACGAAAAGTAAGAAAAATACCACAACAACGAAGTCAACTTAGAATCTAATCGTTTATTGAACTCCCGAGTCAAACCAGAAATCGAACATAATACGCATACGCAGCGTGCGCCGCCCCATGAAAGCGATTGAAGTCTACGATTTTTCGGTAAACTGGAGCAGACAGTGTCCAACTGTGTCGCTCTGCTGGCCCGCTGGCGGCGTTGAGAGCTGGAAATTACGACCTCAGGCCCCCTTTCGATCCCATACGATCCAATACGGCCCGATCCGATTCACCACCCCCCGCTGGCCTCTAGATTTCGATTAGGAGGCCAGCGACTACAGTGTGGGAAAATTATGATTAATCTGAATACGGTATTAATTAGTATCTTTTAGAGCTACGTTATTAAGTCCCATAATTTCGTATCCCAAAAATTTTGAATGGATTGTTAAGATACTAATAGTTAGGAACTACATTATAGATACTATAGACTATCATTTTTTAAGTTCAAAGTAATGTTTAGTAGTAGTAGAAGGGTCATTTGAATATTAACATTATTAAGGTATTATTGTATTATATATATTTACTTTAATTAGTATATTTTAGAACTACCTAATTAAGTCCCAAGATACTAATAGTTAGGAACTACTTTTTAGATACTATAGATTATCGTTTTTTGAATTCAAGGTAAAGTTCAGTAGGAGTGGTATAAGGATCTTTTGAATGGAAACATTATTAAGTTATTACTATAACATATATATTTACTTCAAGAATTTTCTTGATCATCATATAATATGAAATATACTTTTCCTATACCATAATTTCCAGAACGTTTTATAGCTTTAATTACAACCTTTTTTTCGGTGTAACCGTATATGCATATGGATTATGCTGGGGGAGTAGGAAGTTGATGTGCACGTTTCGTTGAAATATGAGTAGCTAAGTGACTTTATCACGGTGGCCCCTAACCAAACCGAACCCAGCCAAACCTCACAAAACCAAGTCGAGTAGAAGAGAAGTGTGGAGACTGGCGCCATTGATTCCATTGCATTCATTCCCATGAACTTGGAGTGAATGCAACTCCCACGCTTTAAAGTAGCTCGTTTGGGATATTTGTCACGTCTTTGTTGCGGCTTTGAATGGTCGCTTTCCTAGAGGAAAGTCGCTTCAATTTCATAGGTCTAATTCAGCCCTATTCTGTTCTTTTCTCTCGAAAGTTTATTTACGAGCCCAGAGCGTGTGGTGTCTGCTTGGAATTCCATAATGGTTTGGGAACAACTAATACTAATGGTCTTGACTGGGGGCTTAAAAGCTTGTTTATTCAGCTAAAGTATTTCCATTATATATAGTAACAAAACAATTCTTCCTTTTACAACATTGTTGAGACTGCAATTCCGAGTTGCACAGCAATTTCAACATTATTTAATAAGCATGAGGGCGTAGCCGGCAGCTTAACTGCTTAAAAAACTAACAAAAATCGAAGGCAAATTGTCAGTTACTACTGTGTAATCAGCCGAACAATAGCAACAATCATGGCTGGGCAAACCTTTCAGCTTTCAACTCTCCACTGATTTGCTAAACAATTACGAGTACACTCGGTGAGTACTGGCCGTATACAACAAATAGGTTGTACAAGCACTTTAGATAAGAATCTTAATAGAATTGCCAGGCGAAATGCAATCCAAACACAGATACAGATACAAAAGCAAGGAAGAGAGTTGCGACCTAATGATATTTATCAGCCATTCGTACAATTTCCATGAGGGCATCATCATATTTACAAGTTAATATTTACGCTAACAAGATTTGCCCGGCCCCACAACTAAGTTGCCGATCTGGCCACAGGCTCAATCTGTTCTGTTGTGTTCTCCTCTCTCTGGGTTCTTTTATTGGTATCCGGAGTCCGGGATCTTGGATTCGTATTCCCCATGCCGATTGCCCCGCACAAAAGGATCGCAATGGCACACGGCTCCGCAGATGGAGACACTTAGATATCGGGGGAGGGCGACATGAGTAGACAAGCAGAATGCTTGTTAAAGCGCACAACATGCAGATTTCATTAAAGATATCGCCGGATGGCACTGCAGCCGCTGAAGGGAGCCACTTTGCATGTGGCAGCCAGAGAGCAAAAACTGAGATGCACCGAGAGAAATACCTATAACTTGGAGCTAAGAATATGGCTCGAGGAGGCTTAGGTGCTAAGAAAATGATCTACTTTAAAAGAACCCAGTTTTATAACCCTTTTAAATCATAATGTATTGTATGACCGTCTAAAATATACAACTTAGGATCTTTAGGGCTTCCAAAGATAATTTGTAGAAAAGATACTGCAGAATTGACACTGTCTTTATATTTGCAAATCATTTCTAACAGTACCTGCCGATTTCTCAATGTCAGGTTAATTTTTTTGCCAACTCATTTTCTGTTTTCGAAAAAATAAGTTGTTCTATATCATGTAAGGTTTTATTTGACTGATAACTCTTCAGAAGAAGAAATGGTCTAGTCAAAGTTCCTCGTTCTTTAACTTCATGTAAACCTCATGTTAACTTCGAGTTAACTTTTTCTGGGAAAAAAGCAAACTAGAACTTTAACCTGACATTGAGAAATCGGCCTTTAATGTGTTATTCCCAACACCTACACCCTTTTACGCTCAGTGCAGGGAATCAACCGCAAACAGTGATTTCAGCGGATGTTGTTGTTGATGCAAATGTGGTGCAATATGCCTCACTGCAGATGGCGAATTTCCGACGCGAAAGTGAAGAGCAAGGAGTGTTCCCTACTGGCAGCTTCTAATGAAAGTCTCACAGGCCAACTGACTGACTGTCTGGCTTGGTCGACTGTGGCCTAATAGCTGCGGTAATAAAATGGCAATTGAGTGCCTTTATGGCCGTGTCCCATCATCCTGGCCTGGTCCACAGCCGTGGGGCATCCTTTAATGCCCCGTGGCCGGGGAGTCATAAAAATACTTGTTTACGCATGTACCAACAACTCTATACTCTATACTCCATACCCGTGGAAACTGAATCCAGGCTTGGTAATTCGCCTGCGGTATCTGCGGTTTTTGTTTTCGGCAGATCGCCTTTAGGGCTCATCTCTCGCACCCCAGAATTGTTTATGTTTATTGTGGGCATAAGTTTGTGCTATTTTATAGTTTTATCGCTTACACATGTCGAATGCAATTTGCCGCTGGGCGGGCCAGTTTACGTTTATTGATTTTAAGTGTGAGTTTATGCGGTGCCCTGCCCGGATAAAAAGGGATATCATAAAGTAATGCCCGGCCCTTTGGCATTCGTTCGGCATGTCAACTTCATAAGCAGCGCACACGAATTAACGCTAGTCCCTATGGATCTCTATGGAGCCCCGCCGAGATCGCTAATGAAACGGGGGGCTCTGCATTCTGAAGGGGCGGTCCAGTCATAACCCAAACAAATCAGAAGATTAAAGCACATCTTGGCCATCAAGGCACTTGTTTGGATTGGCTTTATGGTAAACTGGCGAGGAGATGAACAACAGCACAACAGGCACTTTAGAGGCCCTTTGAGTTGCAATTTAGGCATAATCAGGCTGTTAAAACCAGCTTGATCGCTGATCAGAGAGCACTTGGAGAAAAACGATAAAGTCATTATTAATTCTAGGACTTATCTTTAATTAGTATTAAATTTTGCAGATCAAAAAAAAAGTTTTTAGGATATCATTTATTAAGAAAACATCTTAAGATCCCTTAAATGAAAGATTATATTCTTCTTTCAATATCCGATAGATAGCCTCGTGTAATTTGATTTTAGAGTGTGGTTACATCTGACGGATTTCTGTGAAGACCCCATGACAAACCAATTTGAATCAGTAAAGGTTTCGAGTGCGGTTTTCGAGGTGTATCCCACAATGACTGGCTGATGTGACTCACTAACGCTGCGTATGCGTAATATTTCTTAACCGCTTTTGCTGTCTTTTCTGCACTTACTATCGTTTCTCTTTGCAAACCAACGATTTCCGTTCTACCTGGGCAAAAAGCCAACTCTTTATCTTTGTTTACTTTTATGGCTTTTTCCAAAGTATTAGTTATCACAAATGTCGTAGCTGTTCGATTTCTTCGCGACTTTTGTCGCAACCGGCTTAGATATATTAATGCGAATTCGATTTGGAAATGTTTGACTTTGATTTGAGTCACAGCGAGTTCACGAGAATCTTTTATTTTATTGCCCCGAAGGAGAATTATGCAGAAATCGTGTGAGCGCTTATTGAAATGCAAACAGTTGGGGAGCAACAGAAGCGACATGACATGGCAGTACATATTTGCATGAGAATTAGAAGCCAGAAACAAGAGACTTTGCAGTTTTGCGCTGGCGCAGAAATCTTGTTCGGCATGGGGCGGCCTTATAGAGGTGGTGCTGGTGGGGCATACCGAAAATAACTCGGCAGCAGCAACATCACATCGCCAGCAGCAGCAGCAGCAGCAACAGCAACACACGAGCAACCTCAAACTGGCCCAGCAGCAACAGCAACACAAATGGCAACATTAGCGCAAATTTCAACGGGGCACAATTTGAATTTGAATTTTGTTTTTGTGCGACACTCACAAACACGTTTTCTGTATATATTTATTTTGTTTTGGTTTTTTGGGCCTTTTATAATATATATATATATATGTGTATAGAAAAAGCCAAGCCGGAGACAAAACCGAAAAAAAGAATTCCCCCAGAGCCAATGACTTCGAAAAAACATGTGTTGATTAACATAAATGATTTCTGTGCGGCTCAAAAGCCTGTTCGTCTGCCATTTGTAAAATGTAAAAGCATTTTTGGAAATCTTTATTGCTGGTCGGTGTCAAAACGTAAATAGCAGCTGGCAAATATTTATTGACTTAATTGGCATATTTGCTTGGCGCTGCGAAAGTTTTGCTTTTGAGTTAATTAAGAAATTTGTTACATACCTTTTTCGGCTGCAATTTTCATGCAAAATGTCCCGGCGAAATGTCCAAGCTGCAAAGAGAAAGCCAAAACGAAAATAAGGTTAGTTTATTTGTCAACTAATCAAGGCAATCGTTTCGATATCTGGGCTTTTGTTTGGCTCCCAAAAAAATATTGGCACGCACCGCGCTATATGCTAATTTGGCGCTGTATCTTTCGCATGATAAATGCCCCGGCTAAATGCATAAATTTAAGCCAAGTTAAGCAAACAGCTGAGCAGCTGAAAGCAGGTAGTTTTTAAAGGTTGCTAGGCCAGTTTCGTTTGCCCAGCTGGACACTGAATTGACAAAAAAGTATAAAACAAAACTCGACTCGAGTCTGGGCCATAAACCAAACGCAAATCGATAATGCAATAAGGCATAAATTAGCGGGTGATGAGATCAAGATGCACAGGAAACAAATGTGATATTGGATTACAAAACGCATCCCAACCATGGGATGGAAAAAAGGTAATAGAAGGAAAAGATATGGTTCTAATATACAATCTTTACATGTTTAAGGCGTTATGATACTCCCTTGATTTTTCTCTGATTTATTATGAAATTTATAATAAATCCAATCAGATCAATATTCTTCAGCAACAAACCGAATTTATTTAGTTGTTTTCTCTCTGTGTCGGCTTGAAGAACTGGCCAAATCTGTTCAGGAAGTACAAGGCCAAGACGAGTGACGTTGATTGCAAAATGTCTCATATAACTTGCAGAACAGCTCGCACAATTTTCCAACACACAACAAAACCCCAGCGCGTCTTCTTCGTTTTCGTTTGTAGATTTTTCCATTTTTCCATTTTTTTTAGCATTTACCATCCTTCCTTTTGCAATTCAATCAGCTGACATACGTAGCCTGCTGGCCAACGGAACGGAACCAGACGTCATTTGGAATACAAATCGCCCGATGTGGCACATCAGGTTTCGCCATGGCCGTCACTCGAACCAGTAGAATTTCTAAACTGGTTGAGCGACACAAAAGGCCGAGAGCCACTACAACATACTGCCGGTGGCTAAGACTCAGTGCGAACAATGCATCTCGAATCGTATACTAAATGTATAACAAATTCCGGTAGGTGCGGGCTGTTTTTACTTTCAAATGCCTGGCATATTTGCTGATTTACACAGCACATGGATGGAAAATAAAACCGCTGAGCTCTGGCCAATTTGCGTGTGTTAATTGAGACTAACTGCCCCAGTAGACGGCGGCCCTAGTGCTTTGATTAATTATAGACAGGCCGTCATAATTTACGACTGTTTGCTTTGCATGACAGAATGCAATAAAAATAGAAAAAAAACGAGAGATACATTGGGAATATGTTACACAACATTGCGCATCTGAAAATGAAAGCCCCATCTCTTGGCTCAAAATTTGTGTTGTGTTTTTCTAACCCAGAAAGAAAGAAAGCAAACCACTCGAAGAGTTGACAAATCATCGCCAGATTTACTTTTCAAGAATTAATCCTGCAAATCTGCCGACTCATGGCCTAATCAAAAGTAAGAGTTACCCAAAATTGTTCATCAGCAATGAAAATAATACAAAACATTGAGGCGAATTAACCCATATTTTGCCCAGAGATGAACGCGAGCTTAACTTAAAGTGAAAAAAGAGTGGAGAGCTTGCGTGCCTAGAGCTTATTGATCGAACTGATCGAACAGCAAATGGCAGTTGCAACTACTGACACACCTTTGGCCATAAAAAGATATATATATATATATATGGACAGGTAGGTATAGTATATAGAAAAACCGAAACCGACTTGCAACTGTGGCAATAATGAGCAACTGCCAAAAGGGAGATAAGGCTGTGTGGGTGCCACCGAGCCACCGAACCACCTGCATTTTCCATTTTCATTCTCCATTTGATGCCGCCTGATTCGCGATTCGCAATTTGAAAGCCTGCCAATCAGCTGGCAAACAATGAACAACTGCCAACTCCGCGAGCCCAGCGTGCGACTGCCAAAATATTGCATTGTGTGCACACGATTTCGTTATGCATTTCAAATGCAAATTGGTTTTGAAAGGTAATTGATCCCCGGGCTCCGCGCCAGTCAATGACAGAATAATTCTCCGATTGCGACTTTCAAATGCGGCGCAGGAAACACAACGTTTGAGAAACCGAAAAACAAAAACACCGAAAAATAAAAGAGACCCACAAGAGATTTGTGAACTGATTTCGTATGCTGCCAGCAAACACAACGAAATCATGGAAACTAAATAAACTCCGCACGATCCCAGGCACATTTATAACTTTGAACTTGACAGCCGCTGACTAGATGCCACTAAAATATACGAAGGCACATACAGTGGGACCTCCCTAGTGGCGGAATCTTTGGGTCACAGAACAGATGTTGAACTACATTTTCGAAATTCTGCATATCATAGGTGGTTCTTCTTTGTCTATTACTCCTTTTGTAATAACTAACTTTTAGAAAAACACCACTTTAATCTTTAGAGATTCTATTTCTAAAGTCATGAAGATGAAATGTTTTGATAAATGTTTAGTTTTATCTCATATCTAAGGTTGTTTTCTTTACCTATAACTTTAATCTTTTAAAATTCCATTTCTAAATTTATTAAGATGGATTGCCTTTATAATTATTAAGTTATAGCAAAAGCAATATTAACAAATCCCCTTTAAGTCATCGAAACACCAGATTACCTAAGCCCCACTGTATCTAAAACCTTATATCTAGTTCTACCCGACTTTCTTTGATATGACAGCGTTAATTGAATTTCATTTTCATTCACATTTCCCTTCATCGTTTTGGGGCGAGCCGAATATCTCTAATCGGGCTGAATGGTTCATTGGCGATGCAGGGAAGCGTTACAAATTAACCCAGTTATTTATGATTATTTCGTTTTAAATTTGGGTATTAAAAATGATTTAGCCGCCTTGACAATTGGTGCGCTCGATTGCGTTTGGGAGATGCAACTTCTGCCGCTGCCAGATCTTGTAAATTGCATAATCGCCCAGCTGGACCGGGCTTGCATAGTATCTGTATCTGTATCTTCTAGCCGGGCCTAAAACGTGTTCCCAGCCAACTGCTCCATTTTTAGCCCCTCTTCCACTCGTAATTGCAATGGCAATTTGCAATTGTGCGGCTCTGGTTCTGGCAGATTGATGCCTTAGTTTGATAATGGCCAATGTCGAGGCATGCAATTTTAACGGTTGCGCGGTGTCAGAAAGAACGAAGAGATCTTCAGATGTTCAGGGGTTTGGGTTCGGGTTGGGTCTTTCGGAGATGATAATTCCCGGTAGCCGAAAACAAAGGGCAACAAACTGGCAACTGCAACTGTGTCAAGTGAGTCACACGAAGACAAAGATGATCCCGATTCCAATCCCGATTCTTGTTCTCGTTCTTATTTTCCCCCCATTAAAAAATCATCAGTCACGTGCTCTGTTAACCATCCTCTTTTTGTCATGGCAACTCTCTATTGTCCGAATCGGGGGCCCGGGTAAAAAATGCATTTAAAAAACGACACAGGTGACAGAAAATTAGCAAAAACAAAGTGTTATGTGCGACAGCTGAAAGAGCGACAATTAGGCGCATTTTGTGTGTGTTTCGTATTTTTTTTCCCATTTTGTGTGCGCTGTCTGTCTGCCAGTTTGTGGCTATTGCATTGAATTCCCCCAAAACCGAAAATTGAGCAATAACAATTTGCGCTGCACAAAAATGCGCGAGCAGCTTGGCCAGCAAAAAAAAAAGAAAAACAAAAAATCCGAAAACTGAGACAAGTTGCGTGGTGGCTTTTGTTTTGGTACACTGCTAAAAAAGACATTGAACTTAACAATTCCATGATTGAAATTAATTTCTCAATTAAAATGACATTTATTAAATTCAGTTCTAAAAATAAACCTTGCTTAAACACCATTTTAATTATATCTTTAAATATGTATATAGTTTTTTAAAGAAAAAAAGAAGTTTGACTTAAAAAAGTCGAAGCAGACCATTATATAATTATAGAAAAAGTATTCCCAAACAGCATTGTTATTAAAACATTTCATTTACTTACAAAATCCCCCCTTTTTTCCAGTGCACTTGCATTGTGGTTGGGGGTGTGGTGCTGCAATTGTTTTGGCCTGGGCATAATATTCGAGCCATCGAAAATGTTTCACACAGTTCATTAAGCGAAACAAATAAATAAATAGAGTTTAATTGTGCAATCGTCGATAGAAATTGTCAACGCTGGCAATGCAATCGAACCATAAATGGACAAAAGCCTTGGTATGGGGGGTGTTAATAGTCCCCAAAGCCTAATGAAGGTTAATGGACAGCATGGAACGGCATAAAAACGTGAAATTACCAAAAAAAAAAAAATGGAAACAGTGGAAAATTGTCAAAAACTTTTTCATTACTTGAGGAGCAGGGGGCATAAATCATGCAAAATGTACAGTTAATAAAAAGATCGAATTTCATTAATTGTAAATTAAGCCCGTAACCGAAAACGCACATGAGAAAGAGACAGCGCCATCGGGGTGAGAGTGGGTGAGCGATAGGCGGGGGAAGGCATGGTTTTTGAAATGGTTTCCAGTTGTTTTTCCCTGGCTTTAGCCTGGTCTGGTGTTTTTCTTCTGGGGACGAGCCACGACAACCACGCGGAAAATGTGCGACAAGGCGACGACGACTCTGCGATGGCGACAACTGCATGCCAAGGAAAAGCGGCTGCCACCGATACAGAAACAGAAACAGACTTGGGTTGGGATTGGGATGATGATCGCTGTGGCATGGGTTTCTACAGGCAGGAAAAATATGTACAAAGTTTGAAAAAAAATATTTGGAATGTCGTTTTTCTACCTAACTTGCCATTTCACTTGTTGCTCAAAAGATGACACGATTGAAAATTCCAGAAAAAGATAATTTAGCTTTCAAACAAACTTGAAATTCAAAATATCTCCAAAAACCACCCTCATCCGACGAGCTTAGCCGGTATCATCGTGATTGAATAATATGCCTACGATCGAATTGTTATATAGAACTTTTGTATGTTAAGATTATCTTTTTCTGATGATTACCTACTTCA